TTTTTCCCTACTCTCCCCCATTCCCCCTTCTCACCTTCCTTCTCCAGAAGTCCCGCCCCTTCCTCTCTCAGGTTGGCTTGAGGTGAGCAGCTTCCTCCACCAGGCCCCCGGCCTTGACGCCATCCTAAGAGCAACAGACCCAGCCACAGACAGGAACCTCGAACCTAAGATCACAAGCCGGAACAAATCTTTCTTCCACTGTGTGCCTTATTTCTGATATTTCTCTCATAGCAATGGGGGTGAACACAGACTACACACATATATCACACCACACACACACACACAGACACACACACACATATACCACCCCAAACAGCACACACACACCATACACCACATTACACACATACACCACACTACACACACATACATATCACACACATATCACACCACACACACACATACATACACACCACACACATACAGCACAAACACACCATATACCACACTATACACACACACCACACCAACATACACACATACCACACACAACACACATCACAGTACACACACCATAAACACAACACAACACACACACCACCACATATACAAACACCACACTCCACACCCAACACTCACACACATGCATGCACACACAAAACAGGCACAGAGATATACACATACATCATACCCAGCCCCAGCTTCCTGAGCATTATGTGACAGGAGGTGTCTGAGAGGCTCACAGGCACACCATCATTCCAGCAACACAGCCAAAACATGTCTACCTTCCCCACCAGGACAAGGTGCACTTGTCTCTCCGTTGTTTGTGAGGGCGACATGTTCCCTCAACACATCTTCGAGGAAGATACAGTGGGGAACTCAAAAAGAGAGGGACCGTCTCTGCCTGCGATTTCTACAAAACCTAACACTCATGCCTTCCAGAAGCCTGTAGAAATGCATTGTCCACCCACATCTCATTCGCACAGACTGGCTCACAGGACCAGCTAGGGGCCAGCCATTGAGCTAAGGGATACGATGGCACTAGTTGGAATCAGTCGTTCACTGTCGGCCCTGCTGCTAGAACTGCTGGGATCCCCTAAGACCTCAGTGCTGTTGTGGGGTGGGGGCGATCCCCTAAGCGGGGAACTGGTATGAAAAGGGTGAGGGGGCTGGAGAGACGGTTCAGCAGCTAAGAGCTCAGCCTGTTCTTGCAAAGACCTGAGTGTTTGTCCCAGCACCTACATGCCAGCTCACCGCTGTCTGTTAACTCAGTCCCGGGGAAAGTGGCACCCTCTCCTGGCCTCGGGAGGCACTTCAATAGACAGACAGACAGATGGCAAGGGGCCGCTGGTGTGTGAGAATGCAAGTTGAGTGTGACAGAAAAGCTTAAGAAAGTTCTTCTCACGCTCACACTCTGGCTGAAGGTCGGTCTAGACTCCCTCTTCTGTCCGCTGGGGTGAAGGCTGATGGGTTTACCACCAACACTCAGCCAAAAATTTGAAGCTGTCTGGAATGCTGAAATGAGTAAATTACCCATGACCTGATTGGTTGTTAATCATGGCTAGAGCTAAACTTTGTGAGTGACCTCATTATTTTATACCCAGTTAAGCTTGCTCAAAGCAGCCCCACACAACTTTTATATCTTTACATGGGCTTTAACCGACAATGCAGTTAGACCTCAAACAACCCATTGTAAAATGGCATTTTATAAATCAAAAGTACATCCGCTAGACAGGGAGAAGGGTTTGGAAATGCCACATTCTAGGCACATTGAAATCACAAGTTCTCAGCAGCTGCCATGAGTCCACATGAAAATAGGCCCAGCCGTAGCCAGGCAAGGGTAAAGAAGTGCAGACACCCCTTCTCCCACTGCTAAACTGTTTCTATCGATAGATCCAGGGGAGCAGGAAATCATTGCCTTCAGTTCGGTACCCACTGGTGACCCCACCAGGCTTCAGCAAGTAGTCCCATTCCAGTCTCACACAGATGTCCCTGGTTGAACAAAATTGGTCACAAAACTAACACATGAGTCATGAATTCAGGAAAGGGACCTGGTTGAAAGCAGAGCTGATGGGGTGAGAGGGAAGTGAGGGAATGGCCGGTAACGAGAGTGTTATAAACATGTGAGGCTGACACAGAACTAATAACAACAATGAGTACAACAGCAATAATGACGTTTTAAAAGTACGTTTAATATTTGCATCCTGCTGAACACCCCAGCCCAGCAGCCACATCTCCCAAGACACGCTGAGAGTGCTCACGGAAGCCTACAGGAGGGTGGCATTTCCCATGCATCTAACTGCAGGTGAATGATGCCTGACGCATCTCACATGCTGAAGGTTTCACCCAAATGGAAAAGTAGAGTGGCCACATGGGTGCAACTCAGCACCTCCACAAAGTCAAGAATTTCACTGATCCTTGACAAGCTGTGGGCCACCCTTCTGCTTTTCTTCAGCAGACAAGCAGCAGCGGCGCCCTAAGTACCCTGGGGAACCATTACATGCATTCTTCACCCTTCTGAGCCACCTGCGTGGGGTCACGCACCGGCTAATGAAGGAGGAAGTCGCCAAGTGCAAAGTGTTCCGGAAGTGGCCTCTGCCCTCCTCTTCATACTCCCACTACCCGTCGTCTCCCATCCATCTGCCACAGTGTCCCTTCCTATTGCACAAGCCTCTTTTGCCTCTCTTGCCTTCCCCTCCCATTCTTCTCCCCTTCTCTCCCTTCCTTCCACTCCCGTCCCCTCCTCGCCTCTTTCTCTCCTCACCTCCCAGAGCCATAGGCATCACAGCACAATTTTAATATGTGACCATAGAAAACACACCTCACCTCTTCTCACCCATCAACAATGCTCTCTCTCTCTCTCTCCCTTTCCTTTTCTCTCTCCTTCTCCCCTCTCTGTGTGTCTTTGAAAATTTTTTCTCAGTACAATACTACTCACAAGGCTTTGCCAAACTCCATTGTCCTTTTTTCTTTATACGTGTGTGTGTGTGTGTGTGTGTGTGTGCGCGCGCGCTTTCATGGATTAACATGTCTCACTGCATGTAAGTGCCCGTGGAGACCAGAAGAGGGAATATGTTCACTGGTACTGAAGTTACAGCTGGTTGTGAGATGCCATATGGTTTGTAAGAACAGCCAGAGCTCTCAACCACTGAGCCATCCCTCCAGCCCCTGTTTTGCCATTTTTATCCTTTTTTTCATTAATTAATTTATTTAAGAGCTTCCCTTCCCTTCTCTTTTCCCAGCTCCTCCCTCTCTCCTCACCTTTCTCCCCAGGGAAGGGGAGACCTGCCATGGATATCAATTCACCTTGGCATGGCAAGTACAGTAGGATTAGGCTCATGTTCTCTTGAGGCTAGACAGGGCAGCTCAGTTAGGGGAAAGGGATCAAGAGGCAGGCAACAGAGGCAGCCCCTGCTCCTGCTGTTAAGGGTCCCACATGAAGACCAAGCTGCATAACTGTTACATATGTGTAGGCAGTCTAGGTCCGTCGCTTGCATGCTCTCTGGTTGGTGGTTCAGTGTCTGTGAGCCCTATGGGCCCTGGCTAGTTGATTCTGTACATTTTCTTGTGGTGTCCTTGACCCTTTCTGGCTTTTTCAATCCTTTCTCCCCCTCTTCCTCAAGGTTTCATGAGCTCCGCCTAATGTGTGGCTGTGGGTCTCTGCAAGTTTCCATCAGTTGCTGGGTGAATTCTCTCAGATGAGTTATGCTAGACTCCCATCTGCAAGTATAATAGAATAGCATTAATAGTGTCAGGGGTGAGCTGTCTCTCATGGCACAGATCTCAGGTTGGGCCAGTCATTGGTTGGCCATTTCCTCAATTTCTGCTTCCTTTTTTTATCACTGCACATCTTACAGGCAGAAGAATTTGTGGGATGAGGGATTTGTGGCTGAGTTGGTGTCCCCATCTTTCCATTGGTAGTCTTGCCCGGCTATAGGTGGTGGCCATTTCAGGTTCCATATGTCCTACTGCTAGGACCCTCATAGATTCCTGGGAGTTTCCAGCTCACTCCAGTGATGCCTCCCAATTCCAGTTCTCTCCCCCAGCCCTTCCCCTTTCCCCAACCCCTCTCTCACCCTGTTCTCTTCCCTTCATCTACTTCAGATACCTATTTTATTTCACAGTGGGATTTAAGCATCCTCCCTCTGGCCCTCCTTGTTACTTAGCTTCTTTGGGTCTGTGGATTTTAAGATGGTTATCTCACAGTTTATGGCTAATATCGACTTATAAGTGAGTACATACCATGTGTGTCTTTTTGGGTTTGGGTTATCTCACTCAGGATAATATTTTCTAGTTCCATCCATGTGCCTGCAAATTTCATGATGTCATTGTTTTTAATAGCTGAGTAGTATTCAATTGTGTAAATGTAACAGAGTTTATCAGTTTTTCAGTTGAGGGGTATCTAAGTTGTTCCCAGTTTCTGGTTATTACAAATAAAGTCACTATGAACATAGGTGAGCAAACATCCTTGTGGTATAACAGAGCATCTTTTGGGTGTATGCCCAGGAGTGGTATAGCTGGTAGAATTATTCCCAGTTATGTGTTGGAAGAATGTCACTTTTAATTGTCTGCTGTCTGGGTGCCTCAGAATTGTTTGTCTTCTCCTATGGGAGATGTGACTGTGTGATCTCACTGAGGGGCCTCAGCATCCCTGTCAGGAATATTCTCTCAAAAGATGTTTCACCACAGATGTTGGCTCTAGAGGCACACTCACTTCCAAAGCACTCAGAAGGCCTCGGTGAATGGTCTTTCTGAAAGGTTTTTACACGTGTTCCCCACAAGCTTTTAGACTTGAGCCATTCTTCTGTACCAGGCACCCTAACCCTGACACAGACTCAAAACAAAATGTCCAACTGGTGACAGCTCAGAGCCTCCCAAGACATGAACTGAAGTAGAACCTTTCTCTTTGCAAATTGATTATCTTACTAGAAACAGGGGCCTCTGTTAACACAGATTCACCTGGAGCAAACTGTATTAATGTCCTCTTTCCTCTCATCTCCTGTCTTTTCCCACCAGGTCCCAGACAAGACAGTGACAAGCTATAGGACTATGAACAAGGAAATGATGAACCTCAAAAAGGATCTCATACGAAGCCGGTAGGTGACCCCTGTAAAGGATGACTTGTGAGCCAGAAAACACTTTCAGTCACACTTAGCAGGGCTAAGTCGGTCCTCCGACATCCATTGGAAGACTTACAAGAGCGTAATCTTGAAAAGAGCAGAGAAGAAGATCTCTATTTTGGTTTTACATCTTGGGGAGAATTACAGGTGCTCCAACATACCCAACTGGAATTCTTATGGGTTTCTTGGGGACAAGCTCCTTTGCCACTGAGCCATCTCGTCAGCCCCTAGATAAAACTGTGTCCCCCCACCCCTTAACCCCTTAGTTCCTTTCAGGGAGCTGACAGAATGGTAAAATAGGGCTTTGGAGTAACAGGTGGGAATACCTTTTTTTTTTTTTTTAATCCCTTTGCTTTGACACAAAACATACATGAGGTGTGCTGGGAAGAGAACATGGAGGATCAGAGTGTCTTAGTCACTCCCCTCCTGCCAAGCCAGACAAGGAGGGGCACAAGTCATTTTCTTTCTTTAGCCCTCATCACCTAGAAGGTCCCTTGCCTCTATCCAGCAGTGTAGAACTGATGGATGAGCCCAAGTGGAGGATGGAAGGCAGGGGGTGGAAGAGAGGTAATACAGCTAAGCAAGGCATCAAGAAATAGCCCAAGACCAACCTTCCCTTTCCACATGACAGGTGGCCCTGTCTACACTCCTGGTATAGTCTTTAAGTTTGTGACCATCCATCCACACTGGAAAAGGAACAGATGGAAGCAATTCCAGTAATGTTTTATTTCACCCAAAATGCTATCACTCAAATTGTATTTTTAAAAATTAGGATGGAAACATAGCTCCTCAGTGAGTGTGATAGTGAGTTTTGATTGTCAACTTAACACGATATAGAATTGCTCGGGAAGAGGGTCTCAATGAAGAACTGTCTAGATTGGGTCAGCCTATGGCCATGGCTGTGAAGGGTTTTTCTTAACTGAGTGTGTGCAGCATTATTCCATGGTCTGGGCCCTGGACGGAAGGATGAGGAGAAGGCGAGCTGAGCAGTAGGCATGCATACATTCATTTCTCTCTGCCCATGACTGTGGATGTCATGGGACCAGCTACTTCAAGTCCCTGCCTTGACGCCCCCAAAATGATGGCCAAGAGTTGCAAGCCAGATAAACCTTCCTCCCCAGGTTGCTTTTGGTCAGTGTTTCACTACAGCCACAGAGAGCAAACTAGGATATTCTATAAGATACAGGGGGAGACATGGTAAAGAACAAGGAGCAACTTAAAGTCTACGGTTCCTAGCTGAAGCACGCACCAGCCAGATTTCAAGGGTCTGGTTAGCCTCCCCTCCATACCCAGGAGATAGTCAGTGTTGAAGCCCCATGTAACTTTATTTGGAACAAGGGCCACGAAAGAGGTAATTGAGGTTAAATGGGGTCAAGTGTCCTTATCCAGTCTGTGTCCTTATAAGAAAAAGGGAGAAAGGTCAGAAATTCATGCACAGAACAGGAGGCTGCCCGAAGACAAAGCAAGCAGGTGGCCACCCAGCAAACCAGGAAGGGGTATATGTTCCTGGGCAAACTGGAGCCTGTTGTCTGTACCTTCCCCTTGTGCTTCAGCCTCTGCAGCTGTGGGAAAACCCACACAGCATGCGGCACTCTGGGAAGGCAGCACAGCAGTTCAGTAACGTCATGACCAATGCTGCAATTCTCTTGCAGGTGATGTCCTCAGCTCAGAGCGATCTGAGCTCAGGGACGATATCTGAATTCCACTCTCAGAATCCAGGGCTGGGACATACTGGCTTCAGTTGTGTCTGAAACCGTAAGGAGGGCTTTTGCAGCTGGTGCCTTGATCCTTGAGACTAGTGAGGGGTGAGATGGAGAAGCCAGGACTTATCTGGCAGTAGCTGTAACAGGAGGCAATGAGGATTTTGTGGCTTAGGATTTTGCACTAAGTTCCTCCATGGTGCTACCTGGAATATCTTCCCAGGCTTTACAGGTAGTGGGATCCAAAGTGAGGCCCAAATGAAGAATCAACCAGTCCTCGTGGAAACCATTATGCCCACGTCTATTTTTTAAGATTTTTTTATTTTCAGTTATGAGCACATGTGTGTGTGTGCATTTGCTTTCGTGAGTAAGAGGGCATTGGATCCTGTGGCTTGGGCATTGGGAGCCAAACTTGGGCTCTCTGCAAGAGCAGTTTATACCCTCTTAATTGATCAAACGTCCATTCTTACCAGTAGATGCCAACTCAGAGTCCCCTTGAGAAGGGACGGACACCAGACTCTCCAAGCACCAAGAGGAGAGGCTTCCCACAATCCCACATTTCCTGCTGGGAGCTGGTAATGTCATAGAAGCCTATGGGTGCCTGGAGCTTTGCAAGCCCCAGATTCCTGTCTAAATCAGGGTGGCCTAGGCTCAGGAAGCTGACAAGCCTGGGTGAGCCAGCTTGCACCTAGAATCCATCATTAAATTTTCAGGAAATTTACAAGTTACTTATTTAAACATAGCGATTATTTAAATTTATAATTAAAGAAATATTAAAACACAAATAATAGACACTGGCAAGCCATCCCTTATGGATGTGTGTACATATGTGTGCGTGCATGTGTGTATGTGGGGTACACACGTGTATATGTGGGAGTGATGTCCACACACATATATAGAGGCCAGAGGAGGGCAATGGCTGTTTCGCTCTGTCACTTTCCACCTATCCCTTTGAGACGGGTCTCTCAGTGAAGCTGGAGTTGGGATGGTGGTCAGTGGCCCTCCTAGCAATCAGTCCCCCTGCCTCTACCCTCCACTGGGCTGGGCTTGCAGGCACACTTGCAACCACTCCTGGTTTTCTACGTGGGTTCTGGGGATTTGAGTGCAGGTCCTCATGCTTCCCCAGGAACCCACTCTCTGCCCCCACTCAGCCCTTCTTGATGCCTTTATACATTTCACTCTTATCTAGTCTCTCATGGTCGGCGGTGGTTAAAACATCTGTGTGGAAGGAGCATTGCAGTAAATGTGGAATGTCCACAGGCCCTGTGTTTGAACACATGGGCCCCAGGGGGTGGTGCTATTGCAGGGGCCTATGGACATTTAGAAGGCAGAGCCTCCCTGGGGGAGGTTGGTCGTTAGGATCCAGCCTTGAGGTTTTACGGCTGAGCCACACTTCCTGTCTCTGCTTCCCGACAGCCAGGACAAGCTTGGGCTCCCACAGCTACACGCCACCATAGCTGACCACCTCCCCTCCACAGCTGTCAGCCAGGGTAAGCCTAGTCGGTTCCAGTTGGGGCATCCATCACAGAAAAATAACAAAAACAGAGCGTTGAAGCAAATGCCCTCCCCAGTTCTGGGCCTGCTGATGGCATATCACCCCCAAATAAATCATGATGGGGAGTATTTGTGGGATGGAGATCAGGAAGCAAATCAGGGTTTCACTGCCACCTGCCCTGGCCAGGGGAACCGTTTGGTGAACAGTCACTGGCACACCTCTGGGATAAGCCTCAAGAAAGACAAAGGTGGGAGATGCCGCCAGCTCAGGAGACTGGGGAGGCTTGACGGACAGGCGATGCAGTGGCTTTTCTGACATCCGTCAGCTGACTGAGGGAGCCTGTCACGGGTGCCTGACACGGGTCCCACAGATCCAGAGTAAGATAGAATTTAACATCTTCATCATATAGACAGGGTCAGCCTGCTAGACGGAGGAACGTGAAAGAGACAGGAAGACAGGGACACACAGAAGAGCCTTGAGAAGGAAACCAAGAAACAGCCAGACCGCCGGGGGCCCGCTGACAGTTAAGGAATCGGGAAATCCCCTTCAGAAGGAAGAATTCCGTTTCCCAGAGAAAGTTGCCTGGCAGAGTTGTAACACCTGACTATACACAATTGCACATATGTATGCAATGAGTCTGTCCCAATTAAGAGAGGTGAATCGTTAGTGAAAAAAGATACCATCTCTTCTCCTTTTGTTCTTTTCAATCCATATCACCTCCCATTAGAGTCAAGCCCACCTTGAGCCAAACCCATCTCCTGGATTTTTATTTAATACTCTAGCCTTCTTATAATTCAATCACATCATCCCTGGCTTCGTGGCCAATTTAAGGTGATGCTGACACAGAGTAAGTCTAACTGCCTTCTCCTCGCCTGTCCCACCAGATGTTCGATGGGGAGGAGCGGCGCGTGCCACCAAGTTGCTGGCTCTCTGCTAGCACAGGCGGACAACCGGAGCCTCCTCCTGGGCCCAGCTCTTGGGCCACCCTGGGAACCCATGACACATGTGCCTTGATTAAACATCCTCATTACAGAGATGTTCCGCCAGAAGCCACAGTTTAGGAGGCCTGGACAGCTCAACTGATAAGGCTCCTGACCCTGAGAGTCCAGGGTCCAGTTCCCTGCGACTTTTAGAGGCGGCCCCGGGAAGCTTGAGTGGCTCAGGCTGTGGCTTAGAATTCAAACAAAAGAGAGCCTTAAGGAAAATAAAATGAAACAAACCAGAAGCTATGATCCTCCCACCACACAGTGGGGCTGGGCTCAGGCACCTGCAAATGGTAATGGGTTCCCAGCTCATGGTGATGGGAGACCCAGAAGGGCATAGAGTCTGCAGGTATTTTTTTTAAGCTTTCCAGTGGCATTCAGTACCCAGCAGAAGCAAGGCAATTAGAAATAGCTAATGTGGGTTTGGGGGCAAATGAAGCTAAACAGATATAGATAAGATACAGCTACGTTATGCCGAGGTAAATACTTCTCTGTCGCTGGTTGGGTAAGGATCCTCCAGGGCCCATGAAGGCTTGGTGCCCTATGTGGTGCTTTTCAGGAGACCTTTGTGAGGTGGGGACAAGTGGAGATACTCAGGTCCTTAGAGGTTTAGAGCCTTCTCAAAGGGGATTTGGAAGCACAGACTCTTCTTCCTGCCCTTCTTGTCTCCTAGTTGATAAGGGGAATAGTCCGGCTCACACTGTGGATGTACTCGTGTGACTGCCACCTCACATAGCGGCTGCCCATCATGTTGGGGCGGGCGTGCCAGCAGCTGTGAGGGGTGGCCACTCATGCTGC